ATCGCACATAACTAGCGTAAGTTAGTAAGTACGATTTAAGCAATAGGAGAGTCAGTAAAAGCAAAGCATAATTACTATCAGCTTCCATAAAACTTGTTCACATCAGAGTGAATCGCGAATTTAGCCTTGGGTGCAGGGCAGTCATGTAGGGGAATGTTGTAAATACTCATTCGCGCTAGTGCGACCTGAGTAGCAGTCTGGGGACTTAGTGCAATTTACAAAAAACCTTCAAAGAGCAACTAGAATTCACGGCAGTCTCTTGTCTACTGAATAGCTCAAGCAAAAAGTTCTCAGTTTGACTGTCGTGTTTTGACAGAGGACAACAACTTGAAGGCGTCATCAAGCAATACGCACACTTGCCGTTGCAGCATGTGCTTGCCTTTCCGCTGTAGGAGATCTACGGCACGGCTTTGAGAAGGACGGAACGGGGGTTTTTTGAACCTGCACCTTGTTTGAAAAATTCTAAATAAACGAACTAATTTTTGAAATTGAAAATACAAATCGGCCGTGTAAAAACGTTTTTGGGGGACGCGGTTATGGGCTCACAAAAATCTTGGAAAGCGTCCCAAGAATTAGCTATCTTACTAGAACTAATCGCTTTAAGTCCATGCCCATGTTTTAGAAAAAACTGAATTTTTGATTGAAAGCTATTTTACTAGTGCAGAAAACATTCGAGAGAGGCGTCAAAGTTAATCTTATTCCGGATAAATCTAGGTCGCAGACGATTCGGAATACGGGTAACTATGACCCGCTCTGAGGGATGACTGCTTCGGATAAAAAATATTGGAAGTGAACCGCTTAAATGCCGTGTTAATTTAAACCTCTGGAGTGCAGCGCCAAAGTGGCTTGGTTAGATTTCAATAGACTTCAGATAGCCAATCACCAAATTATGCTCACATGGGAAAGCACATGTCGACTCAGTAGAGGAGATCTCTTCTAACGTTGCAGATCACAATCCAAACTTCGACCAAGTCTTTTTTCCTCCAAATGAGGATCCATGTTGAGAGCCAGTGGAGGTGCGGCAAGATAAACAATGCTGCCATTGGCTGCTGCGCTTCTCACAAGCCCATCGGTTTGGCATGAATTTTAGTCACAGTTATAAGTTCATATTGATTCTCACCTCATATTGTCAGATTTGCCTAGTATCTATCTCAGCTCTCCAGAGCTAGTCTCAGACGTGCCCTATCGAATAGCGAATGTAAAAGGGCTGAGAAACAAGAACGTTCCGATTTCATAAGTCGCAACCGCGAAAAAACTTCAATTGCCATTCTGCGACATGGTGTATAATTTTCGCAAATGTTGTGTCATTATTTCTCTTCCTCTCTTCCGGATTTTTTTAAACAGAACTATTATGGCTCGTCTTACGTCTTACGGTATGTGTATAGTAAAAATTCGTAATTTCACAATAGCTTTTCGCAAAGTACTTTTAGGGATCGGCCATACTATTCCAGGAGGTTGATTCTTGCGACTCATGTAACTTCTGCAATTCTTGTGATTCCCCGAATTCCAATGTGCGGCACTACGGATCGCTTTGCGAATTTCAGTATAGTGAAGGCGATTCATCGCACGCAGACTGCGGACATATCGGCGTCTCTCTAACCAAGCGCTCTTTCATTTCTCTTACCATCGGTACTCCTCCCAAGTACGAACTATTTTGGCTGGACACAACTGCACCCAGTTTTGCGCATCATGGAAAAAAACTGAAACAGTCGCAGAAACTGCAGAGTCACAGTAACAGAATGGCCAGTCCCTTATATGTACAGGGGGTCCCAAAAAAATGTGAACACCGTTTGGTTGTTAATAACTCCGTTGCTTTCATGTCTTTCGCAGAGCTTGAGACACATTTCTGTAGAGCGAGGTTCAACTTAGATTTATAGTATGGAGCGAATCATCGATCGCTCTTCGTTACTGTAGGATTACGGTATGAACTTCTAGCATGTGGATCCACTGTGAAATATTCCATCTGACAAAATTTTTTTCAAAAAATTTGAAAAACCGTGTACGAGAATTTTTGCTCGCGCTTATTCCAATAATCAACTTTTTACGAGTGTTTTTTAGCTTTTTAACGGTGTAATCACATTTCCGATAAGTGCTGGAAATTCAGTTATTACGGTTTACCTGGGATAACCTTGGAAAGAAGCATAACAGTAAAGTGGAAATCTCATATTCGAAAACAGCGGCTTACAATACCATAGTATAAGAGTTTTCTGTTTGGTTTTGTTCTGAGGCAGGATATAGCCTCCAATGGCCTAAAATTCTTGTCGAAGTTCCTACCGTAATCATGCAGTAATGAAGAGCGATCGTTGTTTCGCTCTATACTCTAGATCTAAGTTGAAGCTCGCTTTATACAATGGTGCTTAAAGGCAGTGTCTCACCAAAGTTGAGGTCCGCGGATTTTCACACATTCTATTATAGGGATCTCTAAATAGTTCATTGCAATAAGTCCCACTCAATTTGATCCCCTCCACGCTGAGAAAAATTCGCTCAAAGTGGTTCGCGAGGAGCGACCTGGTACGCGCGGACGACTCCTTCCAGGGCCTGGCACCAGCTGGCACGGGGCAAGCTGGATATCGTTTTTGGGGCAAAAAGCAAAGGGGGTTTCGTTTTTGTGGGCGAAGACATACGCAAAATTGGCGGCGACGACCTTTTTTTTTTTTTTTTTTTTTTTAGTCGACGTTTCGTTTTTTGGGGGATTTTGGGGATTTTTTTAGGATTTTAGAGGGGATATCGTTGAGGATCAAAGGGGACTTCGTAAAATTTCTCAAAAGTCAAGGGGGACTTCGTTTTCAAAATTCCCTGGTGCCAGCTCGTGCCGAGCCCTGACTCCTTCGGTCTCCCTCCTTACGCGTTTGAACATGTCCCTCCACTTGGCATCCACCTCCCCTCTGTTGCTGCTGCCAGTGTGGCTGAGGCTGAAGTTGGAAGGTACAACTCGTCCACGTTGCTTTCACGGGCCTCCAGAAAACGGGGTTTTGGGGAACTTCGTGCGATTTTAGGCCCATACAGTGCTAGACAGGATCCGACAGGCTTGCAAAATGCAAAAAATTCGGCAACTAAATTTTGGTGAGACACTGCCTTTAAAGGCAGTGTCTGGGCAAAAAGTCGATTTTGAGATTTTGTGCTTACCCGCGCCTATTCGCTACGCTGAATCCGAAAATGCGTATTGGAGAGCGAGAAAACGGCGAAAAACGGCTCTAACACGGGAGGGAAATCAGCAGGTGGGCGGGATCCTCCCCGCTGTGAATATACGCTCCCAGCTTCCAGAGCGATCTTCTCGGTTCAGATTTCAAGTCATGCATTCGCACCTGGCCGGTGGAGATCTCAGGGCGCTAGAGAAATTGGGAAGATCGCTCTAGAAGCTGGGACTGCGAAATTCACAGTGGGGAGGACCCCGCCCACTTTCGACTTCCCTCCTGCGTTAGAGTCCTTTTCTGCTGCTTTTGCGCTTTCCAATGTGGATTTTCGGATTCAGCATAGTGAATAGGCCCGGGTAAGGACAAAATCTCAAAATCGACCTTTTGCCCGGACACTGCCTTTAAAGCTCGGCGAAAGACTTGAAAGCAAGGGAGTTATTGACGATCAAACAGTGTTCACATTTTTTGGGACACCCTGTACAATGCGTTCAACGAGGCCAGCGCCGCGTAGTGCAATCACACATTTACGCGCGCGCGTTACCGTAGGCGCGGCGTGCAGGGACCGTGCTGCGCACAACATTGCAGACCTTGTTTTTATCATAATTTTTTTTCTTTTGTAGCGCCGTATTGCCATTTTTTTGCTTCTATGCTCATATGCAATTTGTCTTGATACCAGATATGATTTTTTTCGCAGTTAAGGAAGCTGGTATCAAATCGATGAGCGTTTTTCTCATGACATCTTTCATTTCATCCAGGCCTTCTTCAGATGGCTGAGTCCGAATGTCATGATTCATTATATCGACTCTGTTTCAGCGGGCATAATCGTATGTCGTCTGGTTTTGAGAACAGTGCATTAGCGCTGTTCACTCAAACTGTTCCCTCAACCTATACGACATACGATTACACCTCACTATCCACCTTTAGCTTTGAAGAGGAAGAGCACTAGCCGTTTTCAGAATTCTCAAATGAATGATTTAGATTGCATGCATCTTTTGAACCTCAAACGTCCATTTTGTCTTCCAATTCGCGCAGTGATGCTATGAGAAATCTCAGGAAGAGCACCGAAGTAGCATTTGGACAGGAAAAGCTCAGAGATTTGGAAGCAGGACAGCGAAGAAGCTAAGAAAGAAGAAGGAAGAGTAGCTAATTCAAGGACTACGCTGCTTTACGCGGCATGGTCCCTGCACGCTGCAGCCGACGGTGCGCTCGCGCGCGGGTGTGTAACTGCACTACGCGGCGCTGACCCCGTCAAACGCACTGTATATTAGATGCACCAAGTTTATGACTGCCTCCTTCCCTATTTTACGTCTATTTTGATTTTTATCTTGACATCATTAAATTCTGAAAAATCGAGATATATAAATTAGTTGCAAAACTTAGCGTTTCCACAGCGTCGATATTCATGAGCACAACAATTGGCGGATAGAACCGAACGAGGGTAGAATTCGAAAATAACGAACTTTTGAAGGGTGGTACAATCAATTTTTTGTCTGACCTAAGTGCAAGAAAATGTTCTCCGTACATTGTTGTTACTGGGTTACTATATCCGCAACAACATAAACTCTCATGGAATTCGATTACTCGCTAACACAAAGACATCACATCCCCTTCTCATCTTTCCATGTGTCAGCTGTTCAGATAAACTGGAGAGATTCTAATAACACAAGGAGCCTCTGACCATCATAAAAGAATTTTCCTTCCCTTGGGTAGACAGATCTCCAACTTTCGGAGATTCCCGAATAAGATTTCTAATGTGCACAAGAGCTTTGTATATTTATTCTCAAAAGTTATCACGTAATACTTGGAGTCATTGATGAAGTAAATTTCGCCTACACTATACAATTTGTAAGAAGTCGCGAATATCCTCACTCAGACAGAATCACAATACAATGTTCAGATAGAAACTCTCTTCCTCTAATATACAGTTCGCAGCAAGATGAGCTGGCTTGATAGAATATAGTATCATACATGGAATGATCACGATCAAGTCACAGACAGGGGCTTGTAGTACTAGAAATATAGAAACCGAAGAGGATCTACCAATGAACGAGCAACAAATCGCAGCGACCACCTGACAAACAGAAGCGGACTGTGTTACTCGGAATCAATTGAGTATGCGTGGCCAGAATCAACGGAGAAATATGAACTGCTGCACCTTACAGAATAGGAATATAGTTGTCAATCTTGGTGCGGTGTCGCTGTGATATGCATTCAGCAATCCAGATGATGTTGCGCATCTCTTGTTCCTTCAGTTTAATGAAGGCATAGAAAACGCCAAAGTGGAATTGGTTTAGGTACGCCAACACGTTGAGTTTCACCTGCAAGATAAATGAGAAGTAGCGCAAGGAGGGATAGCGAAAACGAACCTCATATTCGAAGAATTTGTCCTCCAAGGTCTTTTCTCCAGCAGCATTTCCAGAATTTTCGAACAGAGGCTTGTAATCAGAGTAGTATTCACACATTTGTTTGACCTGCTCGTAATCGTCTGCTCGAGCAAGTCCAACCAAACCTAAAAGTAATGTATAGCAATAGCGAGTACAAGCAAAACAAAAAGAATAAAACCGCAATGAAAGTAACTTTCAATGTATCAAACATATAGTTTACGATATAAAAGACAAATATACAACGAGTTACACATAAAAGATTTGATTCACCTTCTGGATACAATTTTCCACATCTGGGGTATAGCTTCTCGCGATCATCTTTGCTCAATTCTGTATCGAATGAATTGATGGTAATGATAATTGCTCGGCGATCAGCTTCAAACTAAATAGAATTACAATGTCCTAGATACATGCACAGTTATTCATTATTGGAAATTAGTTCAAAAACATGTGAATTCGAGACTTACAGCAAGGATTTCGCACATGACTTCAGCGGTAGTGCCGCCCAACTTCTTGCAAAATTTGTAGAAATCTTCGATATACGCTTTATACAAAGTATTCCTAATCAGTTCCACGTTCATCTCATCCAAATCCTGTTCGTTGATACAGTCAACAAAGTAGTTAGCTGAAAAGTCGAACGAGCATTTGTGATTTTGAATTTTAATAAAGAAAGAAGCAGAGCAGATGACTTACCCAATGGAGTATCCACCAATACTGCATTATACAACTCTGCTGGTGTAGATGCAATGTGGATAGCTTCCATTTGCTCGAAAGAACCTGCAAGAGTGATGTACTTGAGTGTAGTCCAAATCATTTGCTAACAGTGTCGATAACCAGTCCTCTATCATTCGCCTCGCAAAGACGTAGAGGCTCAAATTTCCAATGTTTACTGACTAATTACTTGCAAGAACTTACTCTTTAAACAAGCTTTTGACATTTATACGAGAAAGGGCTTTGGCAACGCACACTTTTGAGAGAACTACGGGGGCCCTTTGCCCTCAAATGGGGTGTAACCAGATATTACGTTAGAAAAAACGATGGAGGTAGCAAGACGATCTTAAGAACCACTGAGTATCAAGAGCATTGATAATCATTTAGGAACAGAGCTTGTCATAAAACTCCAAATGAAATGAATATGGCAATCAAAGAATCAAAGAAAAGCACAAGCCTACCGAGTGGATGACATTTGCTGATGAGCTCAGAAATTGGGCGCTGGTGAAGGGTACCGGTGATGAGAAGGATGATATTGTCGATCATGTACGAATACCTGAAGAGGTCAATCCAAGGAGGAACCTATTGTTAGAATTGAGCGTTGTAAGCTGTACTAACGTGATATAGTCGAGAAAAGTAGCAAGAGGTTCCAGCGCATTATTTCTGAGATGAGTGAATTCGGTGACCAGCTTCTCTTTCAGACGCTCATCGAGCACTTGCACCTTAAAAATAATTGTATCAGCTAATTCAAGCCAACAAGATCGCGGACTGACAGTGATTGATCCAGGCTCATTAGCCAAGAAGTTACCATAATCAGTTGACTGTATGTGAAGCTTCAAATCTATAAAGAATCAATACAATCTTGACAAAAAGGCTCATAGATACAACATACTCACCCTCTAAGGTTTCGCACTGAACTAAATTAGCATAATCTGTCTGAGATAGCAGGCCTCCTTTGAATCCTCGGATAAGAGCCTCGAGATATCCATGGTCGATGTTGAATAGGAATTCACCCATTGTTCGAAATCTAGAAACATGAGAATGAATCCAAAACGGCGCTGACTCAATGCGAATCGAGGCATTTTTAATTCTCGGCAAAATATTGCTTGAGATGAAAAAGAGAGTAGACTAGAACGAAAGTTCTTGCAAATAACCTTTGAGACCCTGAATTCAGATTGCGTTCATTTGTTTGATTATTAATTAATTTGATACGCACAAGGCGTTCCACACCTAGAACAATTAAAGGAAGTACTAGGACAACATAAACAGCAACAAATGAAACTTCAAAAAAAAAACAACACTAAACTGTCTTTCTAGCCACGGAGAAATGAGGCCAAAAAATGGTGTCAAATTCTGCTTGGGTTTTGAGTTTGCTAATTACTTCTTCGCACTAAGTACCTATTGAGATGGCCTATGCCCAATCATTCGTAAACTTTCAAGTGTGGTAGATTGCGAGATAAAGATTTCACGTTTCGTATTCAGAGCGAATGAACTGGAAAGTTTCAAAGGTTCATAGAATTACCGCAATTCAACATCGAATGCGGTATAGAAATCAGACTTTTGAGCAGATATGTATCATCGGCTCCCAGATTCGTGTGGAGGTGGAATCTTGCCAACTCACCACGTGGCGGTTTTTGCTAGCGAGAGATTACGAAAAGCAATGCTATGACGTGGAGGTTTAGCAAGTTTACATGTGTTATCAGGCAAAGTCTGCGATACACCTCCACACTAATCTGGGAACCGATCATAAGTATAACTTGGTCTTTCAAATCTTCAAGCCCGAATGTTCAGCATATTCTCGTAACTTTTTTGCCATGATAATTCCGATCTAAAACAAGGACTTCGAAGACTGATAGCCATGTTCTTTATTTTGCGGCAGTTTTGTTCCTTTCTACTCCATGAATTCTGAAAGAAACTGCTTTGAACCCGATATTCTATAGCTGAAACAGATTATAGTTGATACTGAAAGAAATTACAAGATTTTTAACTTAATCTAAAGTAAATTACTCTTCAAAAGCTTTTTGTGTGATTTCCTTGCTTGTAAAGTAATCAAAGGTGCGAAGAATGATTAGAGGCGCGAGGAAGTCTGGAGCTCCCAAGGCACTTCCCAAGCAGCGGCCAGCTTTGCCGCCGCCTGCCTGACGTCCCATATAAAGCCGCAGTGTTCTCGCTAAAAAAGGGAATGATCAGAAGTCGAGTGGCCAATCCAAGCAAGCTTCCTATCATTCGATGCAGCATTCAAATTCCATATCTGCTTAGCGCCTTTGTGGACGAAGCCATGAGCAGATTTATTGCGAAAAAATCGAACACAAAAATTGCGAGATTGAGCACACTGTTGCTCATCTCAACTTCGGGCTTGAGAATATAAGATAGCTGCATTCTGGCCCAACATTAAGCCGAGCATGGCTCTGTACTGCCATATTTACATTTTGCATGCACCATTTCCTAGCAAAATAACGGTCTTCAACAGCTCATAACCTCGTCCACATAGGCGCGCAGATACGGAATACAGATTCGAAGTCAGCGATTTATGCTGCCTCTAATGGTGTGCAGTTTGTTTGAATTGGCCACTTCGAGTTCTGACCATTCCCTTGTAAGTACTAAGTCAAATTTCTGGTTTCGAATAATGTTCCGTTGAAAGAACTGCAGCAACAAAGGGGATTTTACTTGAGAGTGACATTTTCACGAATTTTTCGTTTTTGCACTTCATGCGAGATTGACACCTGCAACAGCGACTTACAATTAGTTAGGAATTTATGCAGATTTTTTGAGGCTGGATAGCAGGTCTCTGCAAATCTCTGGCAATAGACTTGCAACATCTGGAAGTCCAATTTTGAAAGCTTCGTTCTCGGTGGCTAGTCAGTGGAAGTCATGGAACATTCACCATGAAGCGCAAACCTTTGCAATTCTAAAGCTGCAAAATGACGAATTTTGGTTCAGGATCTGAAAAGCTCTTGAGCTGTGTTCGGATTACGCAAGAATTTTTGTGCCAACCTAATAGCTTACACGTTGAAAGCATTGTGAACTGCATAAGAAAGCCAACAGTCACTTGGTAATAGTAAGTGTAAGAGAAGCAGCAAAAGAAAACCACAACTTGACCATGAAATAGGAGATATTAACTTAATGGATGTTGGGCATAGGTAAGCAAGCTCTAGGTGGAACCATTAATCTAATCCGAGGATAAATACATGAAAAGATGAAATAGCTAATGCAACTTGAATCAAAAGTATCATGAATATAGGAATTCAATTCCCATAGGGTTTGTGTGATGATGAAGGGTGTCACTGAGGGGTGAAAACCTCTTTGCTCAAATGGAGATAAAGCTCCCGCAAAACTCATCGAATAATCGAAAGAAGGGCACGAAAGATCAGAGGGAAAGGCGAAACGGGAAAAATTGGCCGCGGGGATCGATCGCTGGTCTCTAGCGGGCCTGATTCTCAGGCGAGGCGCGCAATTCGAAGCGCGGTTACGCCCCCGACGTCGCGCGACCCCGCCGCTGCCGGCACCTCACCGGCGGAGGGAGGGAGCTCCGCACTGCTGCTGCTGCTGGTGCCGTGCTCGATGCACCCATGGACAGCATCGCCCGGGTGTTCACCGTCGGTAACGGCTGTAAGGCCGTCCGGTACGACGACGAGACTACCGTCGAGGTAAGTGGTCCCTACGGGTAGTGACTTCTTTATTTTTTTATGCGTCTTCAACTATTTTTTGGTATTTCCTCTCCTTCAACTCCATCTATCGCCCCTATACTTACAGTTGCTGTATCAGCTGTTGCTCGCTTTCTTTCTTTGGCATATCTCAAAAACTGCACTTCCTCTACCTCCCTTCCTTTACCTGCAAAAAGTGTATTGCTGCTTTGTCACATGACTACCCCTGGGTGAGAAAAATGGTATAGCAATTCCATCTCTTAATTTACATGATGGTTCTGAAATGGCTGAGATTGAAATGTCATTGTTTGATTCCAACACAAGATGCTCAAAGTTTTTTCCGAAAGGTTGGATAAGTTCTTTTTGAAGAAAATCCAAGTCGAAAAGTGATGGGGTCGTTTTCGTCAGCAGTGATTGCTGGAATTGTTTGATTAGCAGCGGGACATTAAACTGCGGGAAAAAACCAGATGAGCAATTTACCAGCTGTTTGGTTTTTTATTTTATGATTCTGTTAACTGCATTTTGCGAAGCTTTATCTGATGTTAAGGAACTTTTTATTGGCCATCGTGCGCCTCTTTAGCTCACAATTTTCCCACTTAAACTCATCAATGGCTCAAGAGCATCTATGCATTGAGGGTCATTATTCTTGACAGCACTTCACACTTCGTTCCTTTCAGCTGTCCGGCTCACTTAATTGAATTAAGTGGTCTACTTTGTCTCGTAAATTTGATCCCCTTAAAACGGCGTCAGCATATGTTCCTCACTGGTGCCGGATATCATTTTTCCACGTTTCTTTCGTGCATATCGACGGCTATCGCCAATATTTCTTCCGTTCTCTGTCCCATTTGTTTTCGCTGAAGTTGTTTTTACTGCTCAGATCTTATCAATCAAATGCTTTCGCCATATGTTCGGATTTTGTCGCCTCTGGTCTAATTCGTGCTTAGGGATCATTGAGAACACATTTTAGCTAGAGCAGTCCCTAATGGAGCTGGTAGCAGAAGTCTGCAGCCATCTTCATATTTCTTTACTCGATTATCTCGATTTGGTTCACAGTAATGTGCATCTAAACCAGCTGTACATTTATTTCAAGAAAAATTCAGAATTCTCCTTAGAACATGAGTTATGGCAGCAATCAAAACAACTTTTCTCGTCCCAAAATCGAACATTTTCAGCTTGCACGTAAAGTTTCAGGGCAGCGTTCCTTTCTCTTTTGTTTGCTGGGACGTTTGAAGGAAAGTAAAAACATGAAGCTATTATGTTCTGTCCTACATCCGTTTCCTTTTCTCCTGGACTGGAGAGTTTTTGCTTTGGCTGGGTGCAATCTATACATCATGGATGAAATATGGAGTTCATGCTGCTTTCCTCCAATTTAACATTTGAGAGAAGCTGGCTTAGTGGTAAACGAATTGCAACTACAGTTGATTTCTGAGCATCTATATTGAACATTTTTTACTAATTTGAGTCAGATGAGCTTGTCAGTATCATTTAGCTTACAAGGGAAACATGTTTTGTTAAAGTTGCCTCTATACTGAAGAGCACAAAATCTTGATACCAAATCTGCCCTCCTTATTAGCGGAGCGTTCATGGACAAGAAGTCACGAGCTTTTATTAGAGCAAAAAATTACATGTGCAAATAGGACGAGAATTGTCGTAATATTTTTTAGCGCTTTAATGAAACAGTAGTGATTAGAGTCTCTTAATCAATAAATACTCTCCTTTTTGAAAAATTTATCACTTCTGGTTGCTTTATTAAGGGCTTGAGGGATTTTAGTAATCAATTTTATCACGGATGACTTTTTTTGCTTCAATAAACGCTCGTAACTTCTGGTCCAAAAGTTCGCAGATAAGGGAGACAGATTTAGGACCAACATTTTATCCTCTCCGATATGGTACATCTCATCTAAAGACCCCACTTCAACTAAATATGGTGCCCTTGTTAACATAAGATTTTCGAAAATGTTGCTGCATTGTTCGAATACAATGACTGTTTTTCCACGAATGAACTACAAAAACGACTTTTTATTTTTATCATCTCAATACTAGTGCTACCTTCTGATGCCGAAGCTGCTTGTGTCGGCGATAATTTGTTGTTCTGAATGGTGTGTGTGAGGGAATATCGCCCTCCGTCTATTGCATTAGCATAGGCTACTCCCTGGCTGGCCGAGGAAAAAAGCGTGGGAATGAGAATTAGATGCTTGTCGATTCCCGAGCTGCACTATTTTTCAAACCAACGAGGGTAGAGACTCTTGGCCAACGACGTTCCACACACTGCTTTTCACCCACTCGTGTGAACTCACACACTGGGCCTCTCTCCGTTATTCTTTCTACTAGTTGCACTTTAACAGCAGAACAGCAGCAGCTGCTTTCACCCCACACACCGCACGAGATTTTTCGAATTACTGGGCAGTTTTGAAAAACCGCATTTTTTTTCTAGTGTTACTTGTTGGCATAATTTTGATTCTATCAGAGTCTCAAGCATGATGCGAAGTCAGTTGGCATGAATGAATATGAAATGAGAACTTTTGTAGTGTAATTTATACTACAAGTACCTATTTTGTACCTATATTCAAGTTAAAATTACATTCCTAAGGATAACAAGTGTTTTAACTACATCTAATGCGTCGCATATTTTTCCAGTACGAATTGCATCAAGCTCAGCCAATCAATCAAATCCTCGGACTCATGATAGAGCGGTCTTTTCGTTTTTACACACTTGATTCTCGGTGCATTAGTGAAATTAACGACAGCGCTACGAATCTCGAGTTTATGCGCTTGAAATTTGAGTCTTCGGAAGGTGGCATAAGCTCCAAATCGAATCTTGGCATCCACTATTTGCAAGGAAAAGTGAAAGCCTTTTCTATTTACTTCTTTTATATTTTCGCCGTGGAAAACACGTATAAACTCAAAAGTCTGAAATCAGAACAATTTTTGAATTCCAGCCGCAGATGTTATCAAAATTCTTTTTTTCCCGACATCTAGAGTCCGCAACTTACGGATTGGCTTTGTTAGAAAAAATTATGTCCAAGATTTGGACAGACTAATTTACTCGGCGAATAAAACCTACCATCACAAATGCGTTTCCAAACGGATAATTTTTGCTTTCTACGATCACCTTCGTAGAATTCAGTTGCAGATGTTTTTGAGTTGTCTTCTAAAATGGGCTTATAGTACTCATTTACAGATTTTGCACTTATGTTACAGATTGTGATTGTTTTTATGGAAATCATTCTTTAGAAGTTTGGATTTGAGTAGATCCTGCAGTTAATCAGATTTTGCAAAAAGTCTTAAGAACGGAGTGCTTGCTGAAATAAAAAATGAACTTTTCGTGCCCCTTGCACATTTTTGGGAAGATTTTTTGTTACGTTTTTGTCTGTGCATGAAACTGATAACATGGCTTAAGTCTCCAATCTTTCTGCAGAGAAAATGAGCAGTTTCTCACGTCTAGTAATAATGACTACACAATGCTTGCATAATGAACCAACTAGCATCCTTTATTTCTCTTTGCTCAATCATTGTTCAGGGTTTTCGATTCCTGGCGCTACCATGACTCACCACCAGCTACGTCATAAAACGATGCTTGCCACCGTTTTATTATGAGGCGACCTTTTATGTAAATGGTGACACATCCAAAAAAGGATGACGATGCAAATGGCTGCTCTGCTGCAGCTGCCCGATCTAAACGAACCAAGGACATCATGTCAGAGCAACGTTGTTGGACATTTTTGCAAGCAATGATATGAAATTTCTGCGCTCGTTTGCGCTGGAACAAATTTCATTATACAAATCCGTGCCCGAGCTGACGCCGATGGCAGTTCACCCGTTCTCGCCAAACTCTCTCGGGATTGCGCATCTGCGTATAAACATCTCCGAAATGTCGCGAAATTCTGTGAGAAGATCGCAGTAAAAGTTTGATGTGACTGGCACGTCACAAGGGCTTAAACATAACAAATCTGATTGAAAAGCAGCTCCATGGGGTTTCAAGCATTTCAGTGCTATGTTTAAAATTGTGCATAATAGGAAATGCTTTGGAAAAGCAAGTACACATTCTTACTTGCTAACGAAATGACTATTTAGCGGTGAGAATGTTCGTGTTTTACAACCACTAGATTTTCTGTTTCGTAAAAATTGCTAAGCGATGCGCTTGGGCTTGGCTTGAACGTTGAAATAATGTCTAGAAGCTGCATCGTGCAAATTTTACTTTGGCCTTCTGCTGCAGAGTATATCCAGCTCTTGATACTGCAAAAAAAGGAAAATTGGTCGGTTTTCGCTTTTGAATCTGAAATGGAACGAATGAATGTTGGCTTTATTGGGGGTCATTATCTTCGCTAACCTCTCATTCCTGACAATAAGTTCTAACCGGACGTCAGCTTTCATGCTTGATGTCAGTTGTTCTCGTATTGATATGATTGAAGTCATGTTACTGTCCGCAACATGGATTACACTTAGCTGAACTTCACAATTTGAATGCGTAAAAGTATCCAAAGCATGACCTATGATTATCATCTGTAGAATAGGTGGTAATGATAGAGTATTAGGCAGGCGCTATACTCCTCGAGGAGTATAGCATGGCGACGATCGATGTGCATCAAATACGTGCAAAACTGGCGATTTTTGTCGCCGATATTGGCGATCGCCAGTCGCTACAACGAGCGATCGCGCCAGTCGCCAGTGTTGGCGACTACACATTAAATGTGTATCGATTGGACGTGTGGTAACTTGTTAGCGATCGATACGCATAGAAGACACAGTCGCCAGTATTGGCGACTGGCGATCGCCCGTCGCCATGTTATACTCCTCGAGGAGTATAGCGCCTGCCTTACTACTTCATAACATCATCGTGTACGGGTTGTTTGCTGCTAAATTCTTTGATAAAAGAAAGGTCTACAAACAAAAGAAAAGCTGTGATGCATAACAGAGTAGCAAATTTTCACCACCTCTCACTCTATTTTCGCAAGGAAAAGTCCGTGGTCACTTCAACGCTTTATAACAGCGGAGTGCGAATTTGAGGAAATTTCCATATGCTACTTCTCAGAGAGGAACTTTGCGTCTATGAGCACTTCTTTGATCAATTTACCTGATTTTGGATCATCAAACTCAAAGGTATTGGAAAAACTGTTTTTTCCTTTTCTGAGGTTATTGCTTTACATCTAATAGAACGAATGAAATGGAAAAAGGATAAAATCCCCATTTTTCCTTTTCTATGACGGCAGAACGTTTGAAGTTAATTGTTCCCTAAGGGATAATTTACAACATTGATTAAGTGCAATATAAAAGAACGTGTCCATAACTCCGAATATTGATGAATTGCAACAAATGAAAGTGTTCAAAATCTTGAACGTTGATGGACTGCTATAGAAACAAAGGGATCACTTATACTGAGCTTCTCTTATTTGATCTTTCTCTGAAAGAATTCCTTTATTTATTTCTCACCATGTTTTCGTAGAGACTGAGTACAGATTTCGAATGGTTGAAGGAGAATTGAAGATTGTACTGGTTTACGTCTAATAATAAGTAAACAGCTCTTTTCCTTCTCGAGCAACGTTCTCAAATTCCACCTCACTCTAATCTAATGGTTTTCAATCAGCTTCCTTTTTTCTATTTCATGCTAACTCAATGTCGTTACTATAAAAAAACAGGAAATATGATATTTGTTGGAGCAAAGCAAGCTCAGCAAGACGGTCTTCAAACATCCGCACAGTCTGATACAAATGACGTTTGAAGGCTTAAGAAATTCTAGATGTTTACAAATAAGATCTCTTTCCGAAACAATCCTACATATCTCCAACTTGCTCATGCATATACTTTTCACATCAGACAATCGTATAAACAGCTGCTGGTTTTTTTAATCACATAAACGATTGCTCATATATTTCCACGAATCAAGCGCTACCACTTTCTCGTTAACTTTCGAATCAGTAATTATATAATTTCCGAGGTAACCTCGTCTTTTTTCGCTTTTGAACCACTTAGTAGCTAGTTCTTGAGACTCACGAGTAAAATGATGTCGATTCGTGTCTGAGTAGTTCTACAGCGAATAATAAATAGAGTACGAGAAACAAGACTAGGTCGAACATACATGAATTGGCTTTTAGGTTCGATTTTAATGATTTTTTCGGAGCTCTGAATTTTGCATCGATGGCAACAATGTTTGCCGCTGCATCGGCCATTTATGTTTTTTATCATTCATTCAAGGTAGTTTTTCTTCCAATCTAGCCAATTTGGCATGTTGTGTTGGGCGAAATCTCTCTTATTCAGTTTAATCTGCAGTTGCAATTCTATATCTCAAATGACGTAAAAGCTTTTTTCAAATAAATGCAGCCATTTTGGTTATTAGTTTCTCCCATCATGTTACGCTTTTGCAAAACTAATTTTCAGCGAGTGCTACAAGTTGTTTTGCAAGGAATTGGTATCGCGACCGTTGCTCATGCTCATTTTGCGCTCCGGCTAATATCTGGAACATCCCCGAGCAATTCTGGTGAGATCTACCTTTTTATTCTTACATTTGACCTTTCTTTGATAGTGTAATCTAGGCGATTACGTATGGTTGCATCCTTCTTTGCTCGTCTCAAATCTTCGAGTGGTTTACGCTCGATTTCTCCCTTCCACTTCCATCTCACAAGAACTTCGGTTAGTCGTTTCTTTTCATGATTTTTTTTGCAACATTGGTGGTATATTGTAACGAATCAATTCGATCAACTATATAATTTGCAAGCTGATCTCGTCATATTCTCCCTTTTTGAACGACTTTGATTTCAAATGTTGGGCATTGTAGCGATTGAAAAGACGTGGATTCCTGTTTGAATATGTACGGCCAAAAAATGAGTCTTCAAAAGTTTTTTACTACTATAGCTGCCCAACATTCTATACTGATCTTTGTATTGTTTTGATCCCCTGGGTCAGAGCACATATGCCCACTTGCTATGTAGTGATTGTCGGTAATTAGCGAATGGTTGTAATGACGTACGATGCTAGGCTAACATCACTGCAGGTGCGAAGACACGGATAAAAGCATAAAATTCTGGGAAGATCACTTCAAAAAGACCTTTACATACAAGTTCGAAATGACATTTCTTCCTTGTGTTCCTTCGCATTAAGATAAAGGTCTTGTACTGGCTTCAGCGATGTAGTAAGAAGACACGGATCGCTGTCGTGACTATCTTGACATATGTCAAAGGAGAATGCGCTGCATGTCTGAGACTGAGAAGTAGTTGATTGGGGACAATATAACGTCATTGACCCATAATGTCGACATTTTGTCCGTCAAGTTTTTTCCGCCTGTGCTTCATTCGGCTAGCCAAGCGTACACGGGTGTAGTTCAGAACAGGGTAACAGTTTCTGACAATCTAGCTGTTGCAATTAGGGACATTTAGTATCGGAAGCACATATCCCGCTTGAGTTATCTTGCATCGCGAATTGCACTTCTCTTACCAATAAGTTTTTTGAACGTTCAGTCCGCTGTAAGGACAAAACGTCAGAGCCAGGGCTCGGAATGAGCTGGCAACAGAGAAATTTCAAAACGAAGTCCTCTTTGATCTTGAAAATTCCGTACGAAGTCCCCTTTGACCCGTTTTGCATTTGCTTAGGGCGCGCTTTGTGACTGGAGCAGATTTTTCGACCGCGGGGCAGACGGAGACATTTTCGGATGGCTGTAAAACGCCAAAAAGAAAACATTATGAAATGGTTTTTCCTCTTTATGTAAACTTTTACAGTGTAGACACAATCTGTGTAAAAAATATGAAAACTTATGCGAGCAAAGGGTCGGTGCCAGCTCAGCTGGCACCCAGCTGGCACGGTGCCAGCTACTTCAAAAAAAAGTTCAGCACAGCTTTCGTTCAGTTAAGTTTTCATAAATTTTTGGGCCATAGTTCGTGTTCCCCAATGCACACATGCACACATCAAATTTGGTGTCGTATGATTGCGTTTTGTTTGCAAACAAGGCATTTGTTGGTTTGGGGCAGAATTCCTTCCCGCGCTGTGTTAGCACCGGCATGTCGGCGGCATACCGACAGCATGTCGTTGGCATGCGAGAGGTACTGGCGGCATGCTAATGATCAGCGGATCATATCATGCTAATGATCATAAAGGCTAAGCATGCTGTCGACTTGCCAGCCGCCTTCCGGCGGCGTGCCCCTGGCATTCTAGCGAACAGCGGCTTCTAACTCGCAAAAACGATATCCCTTTTGCTTTCCGCCCAACAACGATATCCACGTTGACCCGGTGCCAGCTGTGCCGAGCCCTGGTTAGAGCCTTGGCTTTGCTGTTTCCGTTCGAAAAGAATTCTTGTTTGCAGCGGATACGTAAAAAAATTAATGGAAATTTTGAGAGTAATATCTAGATTTCAATCACATTATGACCTTCTGAATACTTTAGACGATTTTTGTGTATAGTTTTATCGGCCAGCATCCATCTCCCTCTCGCGCGCTATAAAAGTTAGCATAAATGATGCATAACTTTTTTGACTGTAAATAATATCGTAAAATCAAATTAGCTGACTGGTTTTACAAATATTATTGGCGGCGTGGCGGCAGCCATGTCCTCTTTTTCTTTAAGTAATCGCAGGCTTTATTTTATTTTATTTTATTACGTAGGGAGACCCTACGGAAAACAGATAAAGATCAACAACAAACAACAAAAGATCAAAACAACGCCATAACGAAACAATTAACAAAATTCACTTTTTTGCAAATGGCTCCTTAACAATCGTTTGAACGAAGCCAGCTTAGGAACAAACACTCGTTCACGTATAAGCATATAGTATAGGATTACAAGTAAAAGTTGAAAAGCATCCCAAATATTTTTTTCTGGAAACGTGATCCTTTTGTTCACTAGTTTGTTATACCTTCCTCTCCCCCACCCTCCTCCCCCCCCCCACCTCCCCGCCCTTGGGATAATTTCTCAGACCCACTGCTATCGTCCGTGAAAACATCTGCACTTGCTGGTAGTGTTTCAACCTTCTGAAGATGAGAATTAGAGACGAGCAGGGTCATTGCCCTCTTTCGCAGAGGATCTATCAAAACACTCTATTCCACTATCTTCTGATCTGTGTTGAAGTCAAAACATATGCCGTATGAAAGCGCTTCGAAAGTAATCGAGGTTTTTCGTTTGTGGTCTTGTATCTCTCCCGCTTTTCTATGGAAACCAATACAACTGCACATTTCTGGTCATGGTGTAATATGATGGCTCCGTCTGTGGTTTTTCACAGTTTCCCATCATTTTCGCACACTAACGCCTCGGAGCTGTCGATATGTCACACCTCATCAAAACTATGAACGCCATCTGTGTGACTCGACTTTGATCCGATCGGCACCGATGGTCTTTAGTTTGGGGCTACTTATTCAAGGAGTACTATTGAGTTGATTGCGCTTAAGTCAAAATGAACGTTTGGGGAACAGTTGTGCATTGCAAACTTGCTTCACTCGGCTTTGTTGGTGTAAAACACTAAAAGGTAGCTAGCTATAAGGAATGCGTTTTTGAATAGTTCTTGCATAGGTTCGAACTACGCCTTCGGTTTATCCCTCAATCGGCCTATGAACTTCTGTTGACCGAATCAAACGCCTTCTTCTACCTCAATGAACAGGTAAGTGGTGTTGGCTCTTTGTTTTGATTCTTAGTATTTGTTCACCAAATCTGTTGAGTCCTTAAAGGCAGCGTCCAGGCAGATCTGGACCCATGGGGCTTTTACGTGGAAAGTAGTTTTAGGGCCCTAACTAAGGCACTGCCCAAGCGGCAGCTCAGGTAGTGCTCTAATGGCTGAGATATTCCCCTCGAAACTGGACCCCGCGATCGTATTCGCATGGATTCATGGCAGTTTCGCGCCAGGATCCACGCTTTGCGCCATGAATCCATCCGAAACACGGTCGCGGGGTCCAGTTTCGAGGGGAATATCTCAGCCATTACAGCACTACCTGAGCTGCCGGTTGGGCAGTGGCTTAGTTAGGGCCCCAAAAGTACTTTCCACGTAAAACCCCATAGGTCCAGACTTGCCTGGACGCTGCCTTTAAGAGGGTCATGGTAACCCAACACAAAAATGTAAAATTTGATTAGCGGGCTAGAAATATTGCTCGCCTCTTAATCTCATAAATCATATTTATCGTTGTGTATAACAGACGTCAGTCGAGAGGGAAATGTTTGTTGACTGAATTTTTGATTTGTATGGATCGTTAGCACATTGCTATGCTTTCTCGTGAATCATCCAACATAAGTGTCCATAAGAAAGCGATTATGTCAGCTGTGCCTTTCCAAGGTCGCCATAAGTGATTTACATTAGATAGGATTCGGAAACTCCTTTTAAGCGGGGTAATTGGCGCGAAATTATCAAATTTTTCACTTTTCTGCGCTCAGACCGTCTGTCTGTTTGTCTGTCTCTGTGTGTATATCTGTCTGTCACGAAATTCATAGAGCGGGTTGCAGCAAATATTTCGAGCCAGAATTTTGCAAAACGCAGTCACCAGCATGTAGGTCCTCCAAAAGCCGAGCGGGCGTGGAACCTAAGGAAACTGCCATTAAACGGATCCACGCGAATGGCGCGCAGAGCCAGGCCGTATTTGGACTTTTCACGAAGTCGAGAATATATTTGACATGTATATCTATAAGTCAATAACTTTAGTCTAAAAACGTGACCAAAATTCTATTAAATTGCGCATATGGCGCCAAAAAGAGTTGGCTATATAAATGCTCAATTTGCAAAGATTTTACCTGAACCGCTTGTGAAGATTTTTGTGCATAGATGTAGCCCGCGATGATTATTGTCATCAAGGCGACTACCAAGCTATGATAGTCCAAAAACCTACAAAAATTAAATCAGTTTAAATTTGTTTGTTCTTCTGGAAAAAGTTACGGAATAATCTCAGTAACTTAAGTACAACAGAAGCACGTGTGATGGTTACAGACTGGCCGTTTAAAGAACATTATCGTCTGCAGAAGCTTTGCTAGCAAAATCCATATCTTGAAATCTCACTTTTGCTGGTACAAAGGAACACAGTAAACAGTAACAGTCCGCAATCGTTACTGTTTCTTCATTACAGACACAGAAATATCTTTTTGCTAATCATTTGAGGGAAAGGAAAAACCATTACTTAATATATTTTCCTCGCAAGGTAAGTGATATAGCACCTGCTCGACTTTGCTCCGACGTTTTTTGTTCCGCATACTGTCTAATATTCAGCATTTGATTTTAGCGTTGAGCATCAGCTGAAGTCAGCCTCAGTGTTAATGATTTAGAGCTAGAAAAATCTACTTTTGAGGCTCATAAATTAAAAAGTCTTATTTTCTGTTTCTCTTCCAGGTCTTTGAAGACTTTCTTAGTCATGTGGCTTGGAAGGTTAGTCAGGAAGCTGCACTTGAACTTGCTGCCCTGAAGGTTTGCCGAGATTGTATAGAAAAACAAGCGTAAGTTGCTAAACACATATCTCATCGATGATCTGACCTAGTAGTTTTCAGCAGATCATGCTTGGATCATCGAATTGACATCGATGCAATTGATTTGGAAGCTGCTATGCAGGCATTTATTCCAAAAACGGTGTTGTGTACGGGAACTACGAAGGTAGGCCCACAAACTTTCATTAATTTTCATTTCTTATTGGTATCACGTCCAGCCGTCAACCTTGAAACGACAATTCGTGCAGCTGTTGAAGAAATTCGCACCACTTCCGGCCACGGAATCTGTGCTTCGCTCGCTCTCCATTCTTATTGATATAGTCAAATTCGACGTTGAAGTCTTCAAAGCTAGTATGGGGGTGTGTTTTTGATTTCTGCGGGCTTGACGGTATATTTGAATTCAACATTGCTCATTTTTTGGAGGTTGGTTGGGCATCACCGGTCGATTTATTGGTAGGTCCAGAAGTTGGGTTGTCTTATAGGATAAATGAACGATGTGAGGTTAGTTGAAGACTGCGTACCCATGGTTTTTGCAAATGTGTGTGTTTAGATAACTCGATTGGCAGAATTACGGTCCATACTAGAAATCACTATCAAGAGAATGGAGCAAAGCACTGATAAAGCCATTGTACAGCTGAAAATCTCTGGTAACGCTCAACCCATGGTATGCTTTCGCTCTTGATCTCGGACTACCACAATCAAGTTTTCGCTACAGTTGATCACAGTGGCCACCCAAGACATCGCCGAGTCTCTAGCGCATCTGATCGATGGTTACCAGATGATGTATAATCAAGGAAGTTCCGTATACCGGATGAAGGGTTCATCTCTATGTCACTTGCTCCTTCTTCAAACTTTGGTAACAATAGATGTTTTAGGCCTTGAACGATGTGAAAGTGTTGATTTGCGAACCAGTACTTCTCACCGACCGCATAGCACAAACTCTGCAGGTAGATCGGAGATTTTTTTGAGTATGTAATTAGCTAAAAATGCTATTGTAGTGAATCATGACCTCCGGATACGAAGGGAACATGTTACGCTGAAGGAGCTGATTGGTGGGGGACAGTTCGGAAATGTCTACAGAGGCACTTTTGCCGACCCGGTCAGTTTTTTTGTCCGAATTTTCATTTATTCATATCTGTGCTAGTAGTAATCATTTCATAAGAAATTTTGTTAGTTGATAGGATGTTATGATGTCTAGACATCCAAATTACTTGAAAAGGTGCAAACCACTGCATCTCGAACCTTATCTTTTAGAAGAGTTCGGTTTAGATATTTTGCACATATCTCAAGAACGGTCAATCACTACCGAATCACTGTCTGTACAAATTAGAACTAGCTTCAGCGGGCTGTGCAGTTTCTCTGCGGTAGTCACAACATTTGCACATGAGAATTGCCCACAGGCGCAACAATGTTGAATTCTGCTGTCATTATCCGTGCATCAATGTTCACTGTTTAGGCATCATAATTATCTCAAATTCGCTGAGTTGTAAACTCAGAATTTTTCAGGGTGGACCTTCCATGACCGTAGCTGTCAAGGTGTGTAAGATGGAGAACGAACCGACAGACACTCAGCTGATTTTGCAAGAATCTCGTATGTGGACGAATGTTCCTTTTCACATGCAGCAGATGTTGCGATTTTAGATTTGATGAAGAATCTGCAGCACGAGAACATAATCTCTTTGATTGGTGTTTGTATGGATGCGCCGATGTGGCTTGTCATGGAGTTAGCACCTTTGGGCGAGGTTAGGTACTATCATAACATAGAATCCGTATCGTTGACGATAAAGGCAATGCAGATGAAAAACTGTAAAAATTCGTCAAATTTTACAATATCAGAACTTGAAAGTTGGGTTAGACAAATTATTCTAAAAAACTGACGTTTTTGAGCTTTCAAAACACACGACCCAGTTCATGCAGTATTAGATTGAATGTTTTCCTGTTTATTTGCCACTTACCCTATTTTGTTCGAGAATACATGTTTTTAGCTTCGACAATACCTGCAGTCAAATCGAGCATCATTGTCGCTTACGTCTCTGTTTCTTTATTCACTTCAAGTTGCACGTGCCATTAGCTACCTCCACGAGAAATCATTCGTCCACAGAGACATAGCGGCAAGGAATGTGCTGGTGTCTACTCCAAAATGCGTAAAACTGACAGACTTTGGCCTCAGCCGAGCTCTTGACTACGATGCGATCTATACGGGTAGGAGAAGCTTATTGGTAGCACTGCCCTGTCTTCTGACTAATCTCAAGGTTTCCAGCATCTAGAGGAAAACTCCCTATCAAGTGGCTCGCCCCAGAGTCGATCAATTATCGGGAATTTAGCATGGCCTCTGATATCTGGATGTACGGTATGTTGCCCGTCTTCAAAACCGAGATCCGTCTCAGTGTTGTTTACGTAGGTGTCTGTGTTTGGGAGATCCTTTCCTGGGGAGCGAAGCCTTGGCAAGGTGTCCCTAATGCTGATGTGATCACCAAAGTGGAAGCAGGAACACGTCTTGCTTGCCCAGATGCCTGCCCCAAAGTCCTATACCACTACCTGGAGTTTACGGTATGGTCTCTGCAACCTGCCAAGCGGCCAACTGCCAAGGAAATTGTATCCGTACGTTATAAAACGCTTAAATATGTATATAATTCATGGTTTAAAGATCACAATCTGCCCATATGAAACTTGGTCTTTTAGATAATGGAGTCAATACATGAGCAGCTGAAAAAACACACCCCACCAGAGGAAGTACACTTAGCCCGTCCCACTCAGGTAACATCTGAAGCTCGGATTTCCTTACTCTGCCAAAAATCTCAAAAGAAATGTCTGGAAGCTAAGCTTCGGAGTAAATCAAAGTTTTTGTAACACTAACAAATTCTAGAATGTACCCGTGCTTCTAACCAACATAACTGCGCTGCCGAATCTGACCCTCTGGAGGACATTGGAACAGCAGAAGAGGCAAGGTGAAGAAGACGACAAATGGTTGGACGAACAGGAAGACCTCGTAAGTTAACATGATTTTTATCAAGGATAGATCACAGATGGATATTTTTTCAGACAGCCTACGACCCTACCGAAGAAGTGGAACGTGCTCACAATGGATTTGCATCAACAAGTGGAACAACTCCTAATGGTTCGATTAATGGTAGACAGAGCAACGGGGTAGGAACTAGTGTGATCGCTAATTTTTCAAATATAGGTCAAAAGGAAAAAATCCCCTCTCACAAGTTCAGCGAATTAAGGCCAGTAAACCATCATGCGTCAGAATAATATTTGTGATCTTCAGAGGCAATCTCCAAGTCTCACAAGTGTGTGCCGCGCTGTAACTGCTGTCACTGAGGCTGTAGATCGCTTATGTAACACTTTCAACGTCAACATGAAGCACGACGACTTCGTTTCTAGTATCAGAGTAAGTCATCAGCATTCTAACATTTCTATTTGATTGAGGCATATTTAGGACATCACTTCGAAATTGCGGGAAATGTTCGCAGAGTCGACGGATGTGCTGGGGCAAATGCCTGAGGAGAAGAGAAAAGAGGTGATAGCTTGCTACAAGCTATTTTTATCACTGCTGTTTTGTAATTCCGTATTGCCTTAGGTGGAAATGAGCGAAGCTTTGATTGGAAATGACATGCGGCAAATGGGTAAAGTTGTACAGCAAGTCGTTGAAAGTACAAATAATCCGGTGAGTTTGCCAGTAGTCACTGCAACCTTTCATAAAATTTTCGGGAAAGGATAAATTAAAAATTGTTTTGATTATCGGTCTATCACTGTCATCAGTTCAACAATAGTTTGTCAAGAAAACATCTCGGAACTCGTCAGTTAGGTAAACTTCGTATGCATGAAGGCATCAGCATTACAGCATGGATGCCTTCCACTGCAGGTAATCTCTTTGGAAGAATTGGAATTTTAGTTAGCTGTTCAATACATTCAGACGTTAAAATCCGTAGGCAGAGCGCTTTGGGAACATTTGTGGAATCTGGGGCGGTATGTATCAATCGCCCGTCCGGGTAAGGCTTCCCACTCAGGTATCATCCGCTTCATAGCTCAGTGCTCTGCGGATCTCTGTTCTTCCTTGATTGTCCATCTTTTGGGGGCCCACTGCCCTAATATTGTAGCATAATGAATAGCAGCACTTTGCTGCTTAAGCTGAGATTTTCGCTATTTGTGGTCCTCAACGAGATTCTCATGGGATCACGGCTCATTTTCAAAGTCATTTATCTTTCCAAAAACTCAATGAAAATGTCATAAAGTTATGCTGTTGATCTATTATGAAGTGCTGAACACTTTTGTTGAAGTAATGAGTGAAAATCAAGTTGATGAAACCTTCTATGAATCTCTATTCGCGGGTTGGTTTGTCGAAAAACTCAAAACTTCTACATTCCATCTGGGCATGCTCAGCACTGTCGTAATAAGTGTACTAACTGAATGGGAACCCTCAGAATCTGGTCGGAATCCTACAAACTGCCGAAAATCTCAGTTTATACAGCAAAGTGCTGCTATTCATTATGCTACATTCTTATGGTAGTAGGGCCTCCAAAATATGGACAAACAAGAAAGAACACAGATCCCCAGAGCACCGAGATATGAAGCCAATACTATCTGAATGGCAACTCTCATCCGGATGGGCGATTGACATATATCGCCCCTGGTGGCAAAAACAATACCTTTTTGGTGAATCGCCACCGCTTGAAAAGTTGTTTTTTTTTATGGGCATCTAAAGTAAATACCGTTCTGAGTTACAGTTAATACTTAAATGCTGTTACCATCCATGCCAATGCGTCCCAGACATTCATTCATTTTACTGTCGGCAATTTCGGTTTATAGCTTAATCACTCAAATATTATTATTAGTACTAGTATTCGAGTTGGAAAACTCGAGTATGTCTCAACGCCATGCATTTTCTCAATGGATTTTTTTAAATTTAGTTTACTTTAGTTCCGTTTAATTTATTTTCAGTCCTACCACGTTTATCGTCGCGAAGTTGTACGGATAGCTAAGGAGTTGTCTGTCAACTGTACAAACTTTCTTGCACTATTCGAAAATCGGAATAAAACAAAGTTGCCCGATTTTCGAGCTGTTCTTTCAGATTGTTAGTCGTCTCACTCGTTGATGCTCATTGAATTTTGTGATACATTGCAATTTCTCTACAGAGTCACCGCTTTTTATGATCTGCCTGTGTATTTTTGTGATATTATTTGGTTTTCAATGGCTAGTATAGAATGCCTTTGTTGCTTTAGAAGATTGGAATGGGTCAGTATTTGCAATATCACTCTACTTAGTCACAATCTCTGTAGTATGTTCTCGAGCAATGCATTTGTTGTCTTGACATGGATATCCCTCAATACAGGTTGTTGTTGATTTTGATCATATAAATTTGTGAGAACGCTGTACTACATTGTCGAACCCTCCATAAGTGATCTAGAAGAGTGCACTGTGTTTCTTAAACCCCTTCCGATCATTCAGCACTTCGACTCAGCAGCGGTCGCTGAAAAATCTCGCAATGAAGAGGTTTGTGGCAGATTTTTGTATCAGAGTGTATCTCTAGCCCTTCTCCTCGAAAACCTCTTTTAAATTGACCACGGATTTCCCTTAGACTCTTTTTATCTGGGCCTCCGAAATTTTTTTTTAGTAATAACGAGTAACTTGCATGATATGATGACCGCGTATGAGCGCGTAGACTACATTACTCTCGACATTTCGGGACTGTATTTTCAAAGGGCATCCTTCCAGTTCTTGGCCTCTTGGCATGCTAATCTGACAAGGGAGGTTCGCGAAGTCGAAGTGGCGGATCAGCATGAAATGCATACCATTTTAGAGAGCTTGGAATGCTAATTGCAAGTCTTCCAGAGCTTCAGCATCGCTTTGGGAACGGAGTTATGGGCGTTTTTCCGAGCAGGCCCCAGCACGCACGCCGCAGTCCCTGGGCAGTAATTAGGCTGCTAAGGCTAGCGGTGCAAAAGGGCCGTCTCCCCTATTTATTAGTATAAATAATATTAGGTTGATGCAAAAATAATGAGCGTTTTTCGAATTTCCACTTCAACTTGCTATAACTTTCTATACAATCTACTTAAATTGTACTCATATCTCACATGGGCAGAAAAATATGAATTGAACAAGACGTTTTTTTCTGGAGTCTCTTTTTTAACAAAACATAACTCCCTTTATAGTTTGTTAGTATAGTTTATAAGTAGCATTCTTGTAGCCGCAAGTGAATAGTACGAACAAACATGGAAAGAGCTTGGAGAAAAGAGACTGGCGGTTAGGAAAAAATCAAAACTTATTATCAACTTTTTCAGTATTTTTTCAGTAGGCCTCAAAATTCCGAATCATAGAATTTTCTAATTTTCTGCGTGCTGAACAGCTAAATGCCTTTGCTAAAGCTGTCAACAGAATGCTCTACCCTCACGCTTACAGAAATGAGTAGAACTCTAGGGGTCGCATTCTACAAAAGAAAGATGTGGGCTATAGAATGATCGCAACCATTACCCATGTTAAGTCGCCGATAGCTTAGTTTAGATAACTTCAAAAAATATGGTTAAGTATGCATATTGTAGACAATTTCTATTACATACAGTGGCTAAATTTTTGAAAACGCGCCTCAATTTGCGCTCGAATTCTGGCCAGAAAAGTGAATGCAACAAATATCTGGTTTTGAGTGCGGTCATTTGAAGCCCTATAAATTCTTAACAGACTAGGTTAAATGTGCGTTTTAAGCAGCTTTGTATAGAGTGTGAAAAGAGCTTCTCAATATTGTGTTGAATCTGTTTCAAAGGAAGAAGTTTGATTGAAAAAAGTTGTCCAGAAAAAAGTATTAGAAAAACGCTCATTAATTTTGCATTAACCTACTAGTATAGGGGCCTGCAGGACGGACTTGCGCACGGCCATTGCGCCGCGCACGTCCGATGTCGCTAAGGCAGGTGCCAGACTTATCAGCTTCAGCCGGTTCGTTCGGTTCATAGGTGAAACCACTATCAGCTTCAGCCGGTTCGTTCGGTTCATAGGTGAAACCACTATCAGCTTCAGCCGGTTCGTACGGTTCATAGGTCAAACCACTACCTGTCCAACAGCAAAGGTGGTGAACCGAATGAATCTGTTCAGCAGGATAATTCTGGCACCTATCTACCTGAGTCTTCGGACGCACATTTTACGTGCGCGGCGCAATGGCCGTACGCACGTCCGACTCTCGTGATCAGGGCTCGGCACAGCTGGCACCGGGTCAAGCTGGATATCGTTTTTGGGGCGGAAAGCAAAGGGGATGCGAGTCAGAAGCCGCTGTTTGCTAGAATGCCAGGGTCACGCCGCCGGAAGGCGGCTTGCAAGTCGACAGCTGCTTAGCCTTTATGACCATTAGCATGATATGATCCTCTTATCATTAGCATGCCGCCAGTACCTCTCGCTGCCAACGGCATGCTGTCGGTATGCCGCCGACATGCCGGTGCTAACACAGCGCGGGAAGGAATTCTGCCCCAAACAAACAAATCCTTGCTTACAAACAAAACGCACATATGACACCAAATTTAATGTATGTGCGCTGGGACCCGAACTATGACCCAAAAATTTATGAAAGCTTAAGTGAACGAAAGCTGTGCTGAACTTTTTTTTTGAAATAGCTGGCACCGACCCAGCTCATGCCGAGCTCTGCTCGTGATCCTGCAGGCCCCTATATCATGGGGTACTTTTTCGTTGACCGGACCCACTTTTTCAAAGCCGCTCAGGTGATGAAAATCTAGCGCAATTTCCTATTCTGGGCAACTCCATTCTGTTCATAATAAAAGGATAACGCTACCACTATAACACGTCGACGACCGAGCCATTTTTGACCACATCAAATGGACTGATAGAATGATATCCCAGAAAGTTCATAATGGAGGAAAATGGACTTCCAAACCCCATTTTATTCGTTTGGGGTAGAAGTTGGTCGGAATCTGCTTTCGCTAGCGTTATCCAAAAATTTTTATCTTATGGCAACCACGAGGCAAAGCGATGTGATGAAAATGATTCAACCTACTTGAGCTCTCGCTTGCGAAAGAATCATGCGAAAAGTCCATTTAGAATGGGGCAAAATGGGATTTACCTCCATTTTAAATGGACTTGAGAGCCCATTTTACTCCCAGCAGCAAGGTGAGCTGGGACTAAGCCCATTTTTGACCTTTTTGCATATTTCTGATGGCGATTTTTTGAAAATGTGTTCCTTAGCCCTTTCTAAGTTAGCAGAAGTGGAAAAGTTTCATGCCTTTTATGAAGTCTAAAATAAGTGTTTCTTTCTAAACTTATATAGACGCTATAAAAATCAATGGAAGAAGGTTAAATTCACCAAAATATTTGCTAACAAACTCAAATGCTTCCAAATATCAGGTCGATGCGAAAATTATGTAAATCAAATAAAGTTTGTTAATTCTTCAAATCATCAAACAAAACCAAATGCATGTATTGTATATAAGAATAAAAAAGATTTGCATTCTAGTATAATTACTCAGAAGCATCTTTCGACTACTCTCGCAGAACGGAACCTCAAAGAACGGCATTTCAAACGCGATTTTTAGATTGGTCGCAAGAATTACTGAAATGGCGCTAGCTAGCAAGAAAATTTTTCTAAAAATTTTCTATTAGCAATAGTCCATACATTCAACTACTTAGAGATATAAACATTAGTGCTGAGAGACAAAGAAGAGCTAAAGCAGGAAATTTGCGAAGGCATCTTTAGCAGATTCGTATTTTCGACTTGAAAAAAACCCTTTGGATTGTAGTGTAGTACAAGGTTTTTATGGGAGCATTTTGATTCGCAGATTACAGTGCAAGTTCAGCCAAAGTTTGCTTTTTGCAGAAAGCTCTTCGTACGAATTTGATTTAATGCAGATTCATAGAAGTCTTGAAAAGCGAAGGCCCAGATATTACATGAATTTCATTGAAAGTAATTTAGATGCATAGTCATCGATAATAAATGGCATTCTGTGAGGTGTAACGAAGTGGGAAAGAATAAAATATTAACTCGACTGATATTGTAATGATAGGTCAGCTTAGTTAGATATCGACCACATAGTGAAAATGAGTTTGCAAGAGTGAGTAAACAGGTTGGGGCAAGTTAAGGAAAGGTTTGCTGAAGAGGTTTTGCATGGAATGAATGGATTCGCGTATGCAATATATTATTGCACCGCATGGACTAAGTCCATTTTATTCGCACGAAAAGCTCATTTCGCGGGGACTTCCGTGGATATCATTCATGATCCACGGCTGCGGTTTCGACTGTTTAACAGCTACCGCAATGCCGTGTATTCTATATGTTAACCAGGCCATTAGCGTTATCGCTGCATAGAAGTTACCTGAAAACTTTGCGTTTACACATGATAAATTGATGCACGAAAGTGCTAAAAGGTGGTCAGGGCGTGCATACGTGCGGATGCACACGGTCGTCAACGTGATAATAATGTTCATTTTGAATGGTTTAATTGAAAATGGGGTCATTATTGACTGAAAAAACACATTGAGCTAACGTCGCTAGGTGCAATATAAACTCTTGGTAAAACCTGCTAAACATGTGATGATATGTCAAATTTTTTTGACACATGGTGGAAGGTTGACATCCTTCCTGTGAAGTTAGGACCAAATGTGGTACAAGAAAAGAAGCAATATCTTCACTTGATTTTCTGTGCCGTACAGGTTTTTAACGATGACACACTTTATTGCCTGACGTTTCGGTTACACACCGTCTTCAGAGGCCTGGAAAGGTGTCAGTCACGTTGATATCACTCTACTTGCTGCCAAGCCCTCCTCCCATCTGCGTACTCGATTCGTCTAGGATGAAGATCGAGAGGCTGGGCGTAGAAATCTACCCACCGAGTGTATCACCGACAGCAGTGTTATCTGCTTCAGAACTTGCTCGATGGACTGCAGTGACGAAATGAGCAGTCGGAACAGTTAGAGGCTGCTTAAATATAGATCAGCTATCTCACAGTTCGCATAACGCAAGATACGGCAATAGATCACTTGTGATAGAAAGTTTTTCATTCTTGCCGTTCATTTTCGGATCCCGGGCAAGTATATAAGACGCCTCTAAAGCCTTTCGTGCAGAGATTTGATCTTCCAAGGCTAATATT